TTTTTCATATTATGCACTTACAATAAAGAAATGACAGCAGTCAAATGTCAAAAGTTTGAAAATAAGTACAATAATAATTTAACATACAATCTGTGAAGCAGTTGAAAATTTTGTTTAAAATATTCACTTTATTGTTGCTACATAACACAAGTTATGTACATAATAAAGAACTTTACATAAACAGGTTTTTAAATAAATACTCTTTTTTTTTTCATTTAAAAAAATAATTTTGTCGCTTTTTAGATGTAGTAAAACACCCACAGACGTGAACTTTCAGTCACTGGTTATAATTCTAACCTTGAAATAAGGATTATGCATAAAATAATGTCTTCAGAATCATTCATACATGTGAAAATCGGCTGAGAATTAAACAATTGTCTTTGTGGCAGTTTTCCTGGTGGTTGGAGGATAATACAAGACTTCTTCACCTTACAAATGGTTTTTGAAAGCAAAAATGCTACGAAATGCACATATGTTTTGAGAAAATATAATGTGCTAGGCCAGGGGTGCCCAAACTCGGTCCTGGAGGGCCAGTGTTCTGCAGAGTTTAGCTCCAACCCTAATTAAACACACCTGAATCAGCTAATCAAGCTCTTAGTAGGTATGTTAGAAACTTCCCAGCAGGTGTGTTGAGGCAAGTTGGGAGCTAAACTCTGCAGGACACCGGCCCTCCAGGACCGAGTTTGGGCACCCCTGTGCTAGACACTATTTTTAGAATGAGCACCCCAAAATTAGCAAAAAAAACAAGTATTGAATTTCATTCAGCAAATATAATGCAGGACAGTGTAATCAGCGCCAACTTCAAACTTCAGTATTATCAGCATTATTTAACATAAATTAACAAACCAAACCAATTACATAACGAAATAAATAAAAAATCAACCAGGAATTCAGAGACTGACTTCTACCGTGGTTTTACCTGGTGAAAACCGGGTGTGCTCTCTGATCCAAGACAATAATAATGTCTCCAGGTTCAAGGCCAGGCTCCTGGTCGCCCTCCCCATGGAACACTATTTTCTGTCCATCTTTCATACCTGCAATAACACATAATCAAGCATAAATAAAAGTAACAGACTGCAGAGAACAGATGTTTTGGACTGAACCGTGCTTTTCCTATCACTTTCTAACCTTTATTAATGTGCACATCAAGAATCTTCTTCTGTCGTAGTATCTTGCGACCAGCGCATGTTTTGCAGCGGTCGCGGTGACCAAGTCGCTGACCTTGCCCCTGACAGCCGGAACAGACTGTTGATATCTGTTGCACCATGCCAGGTGCTAAGTGATGTAGTCTGACCTGGACACCCACCCCACGACACAAAGGACACACTTCTATCACTCCTTTACGGCCTCCACGACCTGTAGTACAAAATTCAGTGTAAAAAAAAAAAAGTTATAAAAAAAAAATCCAACTATTGAATTTGAAATACTTAAGCAGCACAACTGTTTTCAACTGTGAAAATAATAAAAAGAAATCTTACCAATTCCAAATTTTTTTGAATGGTAGTGTAAAATAAATAGTAATATAATAAAGTTCATAAAATGGCCCCTTATACAAAAAAATGTCAGTCAATTATTACCTTCACATTTGTCACAGATTACATTCTTCTGGACAGCAAGTTTCCTGGTGGCTCCATTATAAAGGTCCTCCAAAGACACGGTCAACTGATGCACCACGTTCTTTCCTGTGTACAGCAACCACAAACTTTTACTATAGACTTTTTTCACATTTCCGGGTTTCTCAGCAGCAGAAGTCGTCATAGTTGGGTAAACTTCTATAGCAGTGAATGGGAGACTACCACAAATATGTTGTTTAAATTCCCATTTTCTCAAATAGCAAAAGAAAAACTTCAGGATAGTGTTTTCATGACTTTCAAAAAAAGGAAAAAAATCGAGAGACTGATGCCGGCAGTCAGTAGAGAGAACGATGTCAAATTTACCGTCACTCCCATTGACGCTGTGTTAGAAACACCCTTGCATTAGCGTTAACTAGTTTTTTTTGTAATTTGATGCAAAGGTAATATAATACAAAGTATAGTGTTATAAATGTACATACATTAAAACTAAAAAAATGAAAATACAAAAAAGCTTCTGAAACTGCTGGTGCTGCGGGTCTGCAGCTGGATATATCTCAACCAAACAGGTTTCGGCATCCGTGGTGCGTTAAAGTAGCAACGTCAGATTTGTGAACGAACCTTGTTCGCGAATCGAACTGAATCGGTCCGAGCGGTTCTCAAACCAGCTCAGCGGTTTATTGGACCGAGAACCGTGGCTGTAGACTGATTTCGGAATAGCAGCATACTGCTTTCATACTTTATAAAAATATGGAATACGACTAAGAGCGATTATGCTAGCATGCTATTATGATATTCCGAAATCAGTCCATCTCTTTAATATTTGGACATTTAAATCACACTGTGACGACATAAAAAAAATCACATGCTGAGTTCAAAACAACATACTAGCATACTACTATTACTATTGCTGAAAGATATTATAAAATAGTACTTAAGCAACAGACTTGTTTTCAAGCGGTTCTTTCAAACGAACTGTTCGAAAGAACCGATTCGCGGAAATGAGTCGGACTTTCCAGCACTAGTTGAGCATTAACTTACGCTCGTGTGCGATGCTGGGGAGATGTTGGGTGTCTCTCACTTCTTCAAACTCAATTCGCAGCTCACACAATCACGAGCGGTTCACCAGAGATCGTCTACTCGAAGTCTACATGATTTTCGATAAGTCGCACCTCGTGGCGCAAGGAACTATTAAGAAGGAGAAGAAGCACAAACTGAGGAAGAGTCAACGCCGAATGTGTAGAATAAGGAAGAAGAATATTGGTCCGTTGACTATTTGTTGACACTCGCAAGGAGTTGTTGAGATATCTCGCGCCCAGCCATGGAAGTGATACGGAGATTTCTTTCCTGATGCTGCGATCTCACGCGTAAGCGTTCCCTACAAAAATGTGAGTACACCTGAGATTTTATATGCTTATATAACTTATAGGAAATCACAATATACAAGCTCAAAACACATACTCGTGTGTCTATCGATGTTAGCGCAGGCAGTACAACATTACAGTGCTTATCTGTCCTCACGCGTTCACAAAACGGTTAGTGATACTTAACAGGTTTTTCTATTGTACTTGTAGGGACACGATGTTACTGGCCTCCGCCGTGGTCGTCTGGGAATGGCTCAACGAGCACGGGCGCTGGCGGCCGTACAGCCCGGCCGTGTCTCACCACATAGAGGAGGTGATGAGAAGCGATCCCCGCGGCGGTAGCGTCGTTCTAGGCCAAGCTGACAGCCACCTGTCGCCCTACATCATCGATCTACACTCTATGCGTCAGTTCAGACAGGATACCGGTAAGATGAATATTAGCAGCGTATCATTCTACCTGTGGCAAGCCATTTTTACATTCATTCTATATAACAACGTAGTTATGTTACGATTTTATATACGTATTTAAATATCACTAGTGGCTTGAAATGAAATAACTCAGAGCATTAAATAGATATTAGTACTTGCTTATCTTAGTGATATTTTAATTGAACTATGAACAATTCTGAGTAGTCCTTGCATTTTGAGTCAACCAGTGAGATAAGAAATGTTATTAGTAACATTTGGGAATGGATACTAGTAGCAGGTACTAGTGAAACTACAGGCAGGTACAAATAAAACTTGATTAAATACTAATAACTTTTAAAATAGTTACTAGTAACCTAACCAAGCTGTAAATATGGAAGTCCGTTTCTACCATAAAATATCTCGCAATAAAAAGGACTTTTTCTCACTGTTCTGAGTTTTTTTTTTTTTTTTGCTCACTTGCAGTTGCGAGTTAAAGGGGTCATATGATGCGATTTAAATTTTTCCTTTCTCTTTGGAGTGTTACATTCTGACTTTTTTCACACAATTCTGAGTTTATAAAAAGTAAGAGGAAAAAGTCCAGAATTGTGAGATGTAAAGTCAGAATTACATGGAAGAAGAAGTCCGAATTGTGAGATAAAAAGTCACAAATTTTTATTGATTTATTTTTTAATCCCGTGGTGGAAACAAGCTTCCATACATAAGTGCTAGAACCTCATGAACAAGATTGGAACAGAATCCAGCAACAATTGGAATACATGGTACATTGGAATCAAGTGGTAAAATGTCACACTTTTGGAATTATGAATAGTAGCAAAGGAATAAGTGCTAGTATCTCTTAGTGAAACTAAAGAAAATACTAGGCATTATTGAGATACTAGTAATTAAAAAAACAGTTATCAGTAACAGATAACTGTTTTATGGAATCATTGTTAAAACGTCTTGAGAGTTAAGGGCCTCTCAAGTATTGTTAAAAGTATACAATATGTTAATATTCCAATCTATATTACAATCTGATACAAATATTCTAATCAGTTCGTTGAAAACATAACCACAGTTGATAAATAGTGAGTGGTGAATATATCATTTGTGATGTATAATTTCAAAGCACATCTATGCTCTGTAGTAAACGTACACTTGCAGTCTGCATTCAACGGTTTTAATGAAGTGCTGTTTTCGCACCCAGCAAATTTTTAACATTTATCTACTTATACATAGGGCTGGACGATATGGCCAAAATTTATATCACGATTTATTTCTTAATTTCGGTCGATACGATATAATTCCGATATCGATATGAACACTATTAAAAAAGCCTCATAAAAACGGCCAAGAACGGCCACAACAGATGTCTGTACCTACAAACTTATGAAAAATTAATTTGCCAACTCTATGAAACCTACTCCTATAAAACTATATAATATTTTAGGAAAAAAATGGCGCAAATAAATAAATGTTCACCTTTTATTGGTATTTAGCCCTCATACAAACAAGAAATGTGAAATCACTGTCAAATAAATCTCAGACTCTCCTTATTAATATTAATATTAATATTTTTTACTTCAAACTATAGGCTAACATACCAGTCAAAAGTTTTTGAACAGTAAGATTTTTAATGTTTTTTAAAGAATTCTCTTCTGCTCACCAAGCCTGCATTTATTTGATCCAAAATACAGCAATGGGAAACACTGGTAATGTATATCGAAATATCGAAATGCGTTTAAAAATCATATCACCGGTATTGAAAAAAATTATATCGCGATACATATTGATATTGAATTATTGTCCAGCCCTACTTATACATATGCACTCATTTGAGTTTTGAAGTGTGACATTGAATAATGTCCACTGTCTGCCCAGGCAGCTGTTGTTTTGGAACAATATACAATGGCAGATATATATAAGCCATACATTGCATAGCAAAATATGAGACCAAGTGGCATTTTTCACCATAAACAGACAATATATGTTAAACAATGTAATATGAAAAATAGATTTATGTATGATTGGACAACACAAATGGAGGGAGTAAGAAAATAGAGGTGCAGAAAAAAACAGTAGCCCCTCACTGCAGAACAAAGATCCAGGGGGCGGGGTTGAATCCACATCTAGGGGGTGGAGATGGTAGGTTTAGTGGTGGAGATGGGTGGGTTTAGGGATCAGGGGGTGGAGACGGGTAGGTTTAGGTATATGTAAGGTGGGAAGAGTTGGATCTGGATCCAACCTCGCCCCCTGGATCTTGTGTTCTACAGTGAGGACCATCTCGAAAAAAAAAGGCATGTCATGCTCTAGAGCAGTGGTTCTCAAACTGGGGTACGCGTACCCCTGGGGGTACGTGAGATGACGGAGGGGGGTACGCGAACAAAATTCTGGGTTTTGGCATTCATTTAATTCTACCCCAACTGAAAAGTAACATTAAAACCGAACGTATTTCTGACAAGCAAAATGCCGCTTCTAATGTAAAAACAGGAAAATGGGAGTGCCGTAAGTAAACGGTCAAATACATGATATCCAATCAGCTTACCTCATCTTTTGTGGTCAAAACTGACTGCATCCACAAAAGCAGCGTGTATGTGATAGGATGCCTGCTGAATATGCTGCTTTAGCAAATCGCGCTGCTGTTCAATGTATCTTTAAAGTAGATCTTCACTTAATAGCATGAAGAGCAATATACTGAGATCTATTTAAACTCTCTTCGATACAGACACACTGTGTGTGTTATTGTTTTCATGTTTAAGATGCGAGCAAAAATGCAAATTTCCCTGAATATCCAAACGATGGCAAATGTGCAATTAATTTTTTACAACAGATCAACAAAAAAAGGTAATATTAAGTGAACATTTTACATTTTAAATGTAGCCTACATTTTAAACAGAATATTGTCATGTTTGTTCTATTTAAACTCTCTTCGATACAGACACACTCTGTGTGTGTTATTGTTTTCATGTTTAAGATGCGAGCAAAAATGCAAATTTCCCTGAATATCCAAACGATGGCAAATGTGCAATTAATTTTTTACAACAGTTCAACAAAAAAAGGTAATATTAAGTGAACATTTTACATTTTAAATGTAGCCTACATTTTAAACATAATATTGTCATGTTTGTTCTATTTTGCAACAAAATAATAGTTCCAACTAAATCCATATCATCTGGTGTGCGTCTCCAAGCAACATACAGCGGTGTTTCGTTAGTGAACGAATCTGCAGCTTTGAATGATTTGGAGAGTCAGTGATTAAACCCATTCATAACTACAGCATTTTGCTTCTTTACTGAATGAATGAATGACGCGATGCCTGGCTCATTAAGACAGTGACTTGCCGCCACCTACTGGCGGTTTTATTTACAAGTATCACTTCGATTTGCCATAATTTATTGCTTTATTTATTATATTAATAATACACTTAATGGAATGTTAAGAATATGACATAAAACATGACATACAATTAATAAGGATAGAAAATATTTGCCTCTATAAAGGTAAAAAATGCACCTGTAAATCAATTTAAGGAGGCAAATTGTCCTTTAATAGAAAAGGTGTGAGTGGTCTAAGTGGAAGAGCAGGGGTACGCAGAAGAATGTTAAATGC